GTGGGGGGGGGGTGGGGGGGGGGAGCAATTGCAGCATTCCCAGTTGTATGAGGCAATGGGACAACATCCTGACAAATACATACCCTTTAATTGGCAAATCCTTTCAGAGCTATGGCAACTGACTGCTAAACACAGGTTAGGGTCACCTGCTGTTGCAAATAGGCTTCGATTTATAACTGCTAGTGAATTAACTTCCTATGATATGAAGCAAATTGCAAAATTACTCTGTACTCCAGTGCAATATATGATGTTTGAATCAGCCTGGAGGTCTTATGCAGAAGATCAGGGACTGCAAAATTCAAGAGCTTCGCAGCAGGACCCATGTTTTGGGGCAGGGATTTCTCAACTTATGGGACTGCCCCCCATGGAAGACCCACAAACCCAAGCATGCCTGAACCCCTTAATCCTAGCCCAAGCAAAGGACTTAGCAATGTGAGTTCTAACAAAAAGTACAAATATATCTGTGTCTACCCAAAGTTATTAAAGTATAAGACAAAACCCCAACAAACTATATATGCAGTTCATAGAACAATTGCAAGATGCTATGGAAAAATAGATATCAAACAGCGAAGCAAGGAGCCAATTAATACTACAGCTAGCACAAGATAATACAAACAAAGACTGTAGAAAGATTATAGATGCATTACCTAAAGAGTATCTATCCCTAGAGGATATGATAAATGTATGTCCTAAGGTTGTGACTGCATCTCACAACATGGATATGTTAGCTAATACTATTACAGCTGCTGTTAAACAAACAGCCAATTGCTACAAATGTGAACAACAAGGCCATGTGAAGGTAAACTGTCCACACCAGTCCATACCACAGGGGACATTTCAAAGACAGCCCCAAATGTACTGGACTCAGGTCGTAAGTGATCAAAGACCTAATATGGTCTGTCCTGCCCTACGTCCTGTCCGGGCCCACAAGCAGCATCCTCCTGACAGCCTGTGTAAGAGACGGTCCAAAGTTTTCCTCTTTTGCCTCATGACCATTGCAAGGACAGAGACTAAGACCCTGAAGACCCTGACTGGAGTTCTGGCCTGGTTGAGGTGGATGCTCATCACGTGATTGTTTGCAGGTGTGCTTGCTGTGTCACCACAGTCTTACACCTGCTTCACGCTACCCGCTCATCACAATAGCCCATGAATTTCCCCACCTCTTGGCCAGATGCCACCCGCTTTGGAGAAAGTCTGACTTTCTGGGGTAACTTTGGTGATCCCCCACGGAAAATCCCTCATCTGCCTCACGACCACCGTGACGGACGGAGGATTGAAGCCCCCTCCCAAGGACTGAGCCTGAGACCCTTATAATTCTAACACAGGGGCACTGGCCTGACTGAAGCAGGATGTTTGCCAAGTGTTGCCTGCAGGTGTGTTTGCTGGACCAAAAAACAATGGGTCCCACTCACTGCTGAAATTGACTTGCCCTGCTTCGGAACATGGACTGTCTGTACCCATTTTTCAATAGACTTATTTCTCCATTGTCTTTTACCTATTCCCCCCTTGTCGGAGGACTAAAATAGACCCCTGAGTTAACCAAGATTTTGAGATTCTCTCCCGATGTGACAAGACGGATCTATTGGCTGAAGCACGAGGATTTCGTCTCTCCATTGGTAGCTATTCCCCCCCTGCTTTCTCTCTCTCTCTATCCTTTATCTCCTTTCTAATCCTTCTATCGCATTTGCTGTGGGCACTCAATAAAAGGTGCATTTGTTTGGATTAATACTGAAATCCCCTCTGTGTTGTTTTTGCAATCTGAGATCAGTTAATGAACCATCACGACCCCTGCTTGTACTAGCAGATCATGACAGCCTGTCAATAAACATCATGGAGCCATGTGTGGAACAGTGATGGAAACAACTTGTTCATCTACCTCATGAAAATCTGGGACTATTGAAGTGACAGTTCATTTAAGGACTTTCTTTGTTTACAATTTGTTTTTCTGTTTACAAACTGTTTTTCTGGTAATTGGGTTTTTCTAATGGTTCTAAGGGTTAAATGGTTTCTTAGAGTTAAGTTGTAACTTGTACCTATAAATAGTTAAGCTTTGGCATGTTAGCCTGAAGGATTGTAATCTCACCTAACAGCTCCTGGAAGTGAGTGCTACAACTCCAGTGGTACATGGGACAGATCGCTGGCTGAGGGGAGCTAGGTTTGTCAAATTCAGTGGAAAACCTCATTCAAATTAGACCCATGCTGTCTTCTGTCACCCTATCTGCAAAGGGCCCTTGCAGGTAGGATAACAGACAACATTTTGCATTTTTTATTAAAAAGGAAAGGAGGAATTGTCACAGTACAATAGGCTGAATTCAAACCTATACAGGGGACCCTCAGCCAACCCTGTTCAAGCTTAGATGCAGGCACACCACTGGCCAGAGATCTGAGCAGAGAGAGATCTCAACCAATCAGCTGTTTTAACACGGGAATTTCAAACCCCCTATATAAAGCATCTTCCATAATAAACCACTGCTGTTTGTCTCATGATCTTGGGGGAATTCGTGTCGTTTGTCTGTCTCTGACCACGACGTCACGTAACAATTTTTCAACATAAATATCCCTCTAAAGTTAAGCGAACCTTACATGCTTTTGACAAAGATTGTGATGACCGGTTTGTTTTTTGGTATAAAGGACAGCGATGGGCAGCATCCTTTTTTGCCCCTGGTGTAGCAGCAAGAAAAGCTTTAGGATTACTTAACAAATTAGGTTGTTGGCTAGCTAGACAAACTAATGCTATGTCCTTAGCATTAACAGGACTTTTAGCTGATGTTGATTCTATTAGACATGCTACTTTGCAAATTAGGCCAGAGATAATTTTATTGCTTTTAGCACAAGGATGTGGATGTGAAGAATTCAATGGAATGTGTTGCATGAACCTGTCCGACCACTCTCAATCAATCCATGCAGCAAGCATTCAAACCCTGAAAGAGGGTGTAAACAAACTGCAAATAGATGATGGATTTGATTGGCTAGGTCGACTTCTGGGGGATTGGGCACTTGGTGGATGGATAAGAAATTTAGTTAAAATAGGCTTATATGTATTAGGCATTATATTATGTATTCTTATGGTTATTCCTTGTATTTTACAGTGTGTGAAAAAACTAATAGACAAGTCACTTGAGTGTATTTTTAGTTGAAAGGGAAGGGGGAGGTATAGACAGTAAGAGAGAGTACAATGGAACTGATAAAGGAGCCTGATATCTTAGGCCTGATCAAGCAGAAACCATGGGAGAGACAGACACAGATCCCTGGGGTAGAAATGACCAAGAGACATGTTGTGAAACTTTGTGATAAGATAATGATTACCGGGTATCAGATGTCATGAAGAATGTGTAACCAATGGGAAATTGTTACCAAAAATAGAACCCTATATGTGTCATACAAGTAAACCCTATATAAACACTTTGTATTCTCAATAAAAATTGGCTTCTGATCCAAGCTCAGATGTCCCCATCTCTCCATTGCCGACATTAAGCAACCTGGTCTAGTGGAAGGTATCCCTGCCCATGGCAGGGGGGTTGAAATTAGATGATCTTTAAGGTCCCTTCCATCCCTTTAATATTCTATGAAAGTACTTTCCATTTTAATGAAGTAGTAAGGGATATATGTAACACATTTTTTGTTTTACTGAAAGAACATGAATGTTGCTAACTTGATAACTTCTATTCCTAAATGAGGAAGCATCTTCACTAAGGTAGTATTTCAGAGCTCTCTCCTTAGAGCTTCTTACAAATAAAACAGGAATACCTAACTATGCTATTGCATGAAGTTACCTTTTTTTTTAATTCTACCCACTGTTCACTTGTCAAAGTGGTCACCCTCTCCATAATTCTATCTTGAAATCTGGAGTCCATGATGGCTATCTCTATCTGCAATCTTAAACTTATCAGTATTCTGTGTAGCAATTGTCACTCATACACAGGTTCATGTCAGGGTTTTCAAGCTAGAATAGTGAGTGCCATCTTATACATGGAATATTCAACCTCAATAGATGATTTTGCTGAGTCTGCAGAAATATGAATAAAAGCAATAGTTATCAGGTTAAAGAGTCATAACTTCCCTTCAGACATTTACAATACAAAACAGCAGTTTATATCAGGAAATATTTTTCTTGCCCAGAGAAGTCAATACCGTACAGTTCTTGCAAACCATTCTGCAGGTAAACAGGCTTGCTTTAGCACTATTAAATGTAGAATTTCAAATAATTTTTATATGCAACATATACATTTGTTTTACTCTGACCACCAGTAGATACTTCATTGGCCACAGGAGATCAGAGCCAGAGCTAAAGCCAAAAAAACAGAAGTTGATTTTTTCATCTCAGACTATAAAACAGGGACAAGCTATATAAATTATTTCTTTGTTCTGTATATTTTCATTAAAATTAACATTCCAGCCTCCTCTGATCAGATATCAGTTAACATTTTACCTAATGTTTCTGATTGTTGCTCTCTTCATTGGATCTACTTGCAGCATGTGTTTCAGAAGACTAGATACAGATGGATTCAGGTATTGAGGGGTATAAAAGATACCATCACATATCTTCTTAAAAAGGGTTGGCACGTGATCATCATCAAATGGAAGTGTTCCACATAACAAAGCATAGAGAATAACTCCAGTGCTCCAAATATCTACTTCTGGACCTGCATATAATCTGGGAAAAAAGTTAATTAGCAATTTGTGCTTAATACATTTAAATAGATTTTTTTTCTACATTCTTAAATTGTATCATGTTAATCAAGAGTATATGAACTTTGGACAACTAATCTGCACTTACTATACCACTCAGTGCTATGCCTTGAACTCTAGTGTCTTTCCTCTTCACATATGTAACAGAAACTAGAAAAGTACTTAGTTTTCCTCTCTATTGTATAAAAATAATCCACAGATACAATGTAAGATAATGGCAAACTGAAAGAAACTTGCAGCTACTACCAAGAAAGCCCATGTTATACATTGCTATCACTGTTTGAGTGCAATCTATGTAGTCATCTAGCCTCCAAGTCTTGGAGGCTAAAAAGTTTAAGACAAGTCCATATAGCAGAACTTGCCACATCTTCTATGCTACTGCATGAATAAAACATACATTTGGCCTCCAATCAGCAAAAGATATTAGGGTAGGGAGCTGAAAGCAGCATATTTGACAATCACTGAATAAATTCAGACTGAAGAGATTCTACAGCAGATATTTCACTGCTACTCAACTTCACAGTAGACTTTGCCTGTATTTCTATCTGTACCTCTACTTCCAAGATCGGAGCTGTAAATGAGATTTTTAAACCAATTCAGGAACACTGTACACACTGTATTTGGGACATCAGACATCACCTCCACCTTACAAAAACTATTCAAAGCTTGGTCAAAGTCTTAAATATTTATGAAAAATTATCAAGGCAATTAAGAGTTCAGCCCACAATTTCTTAGTATAAGGCTTGTGAATTACACTATTTTGTAGCCTTTAGAATTAAGCAGCAAAATGACTGAAGTACATGCACACATGCATCCAATAGAAAAGAAGCTCATACATGCATCTAGTAGAAAAGAAACTACCTTCCTGAAATTACTTCTGGTGCAGCATAGTTAGGGGAACCACAGCTTGTTCTTAAAAATTCTCCATCTGCCATCATATTTGATAGACCTGAAAGTATATAAGAGTAACTACTAAAGATTCACAGAGCTAAGTGATTTTACACTAGAAAAGATCACTGGTAATTCAAATTAGAAAGTTAACTAATTTATCTCAGTAAGGAGGCAAAATTGTTTGAAGTGATTGAATTTTTTATATGAGAATGACACACAATCCTGCATTTAGTTTACTAAAAACTTGAGTAACATCAATCCATTATTGCACACAACCTAGGAATGTTCAAAAACATATTAATTCCAAGACAAAAACTAATCCATTCTGGATTACACAAGCATGATAGAGAACAAAGCTGCTCTAAAGGAGAGAGCAACATAGTAATATAGGATTTCGGTCATTAACACAAAAGTGTCTTAAAAACCATATTCTCTTCTAAATGCCAAAGAGGAAGATACTACCACAGAATTGCCTAAAATTCTTGAAGAGGTTATATAGAATAAGGGAACTCAGGAGTGCACACAGCCTTGCCACAATTTAGACACCATCACTGCTTCAAGTGGTTTCTGAAACACTCCAATTTAAAATTCAAGCTATACTAAACACTGTTAGTGATTAGAGTGTACTTTAGAACTAAGTCATCCTCATTTACCACTCTGGCATACCCTATAATCAGTAAAGAATTACCACTTCTAGAATAGCTGTGTAAAATATCTTCTAGTTTCTTCAGTGAGAGCTGCATAATCAAAATCAGTACAGGCCAGTGAACTCAGCCAGAAATTATGCCCTTACTGGGGGGGGAAGAATATGAAAGAACACAGCTAGGCTAGTTTTCATGCTAGGCTAGTTTTCATACTTGCACCCACATACTTGAACACCATGCTTATAAGTTATACTTAGAATACTCAGCATGACCCAGCATCTTTCAGAGACCTCCAAGTGTTTTACAAGGGCAAGTATTTTCTACTACACCTACAAAACTTTGAATACCTTACTATGCTTATGTCGTCAGATTTCCCAATACAGACATATTATAAATAACTATGTAGTTGTTGGCTTTCGCTATTATGTATTGGCTTTTGCAAGTTATTTTGATATAGTACAGTTTGTAATCACTTTTAACTGCTTTTGATATAGTATAATTTGTCAGCTTTTTGTGGCCAGTGTCCTGGCCTCTGTGTAGCTTGTATTCTCAGAACATCATTTATAGATGATATTTTAGTTTATAAACAGTGTGAAAAACATATAGTTTTGGCTTTCGCAAAATGTTAACTTTTACAGAAGTAGCTGTAGCTGTGAAATAATAACTAATGCTTTTATTTTTGTAACTAACTGACAATAATGAGAATAACTAAGATATATTTGTGAAATAGCTAATGTTGATTTGAAGTACTTGTGGAAATAACTAAAACCGTCTGCATGGTCAGATAACATTTCAGGAACGGATGTGATAAAAAACTCCTGCCATTGACCATTTGACTATCGATAACTGTCACCTGCTGAAACCACAGAGCAGGGCGGCCATTGTGAGGAAGTGACACACGACTCTCAAAAACACAATACACATTACTGCATGTACTCTAAAAAGGCGGGTCAGGGTTCGAACCAAGCTAAAGAATTCCCAGAACATATAAACAAGTTCAAAGAAATGTTTGAATATGTATAGTTTTTATGAATATGTATTTAACCAATGCAATGGAAAAAGTATATAAGAAGAGTTGTTATGATTAACTGGTGTGCCTCTGGCTACTGCTATGCACCCAGTGCTGTTTACTGTCCCTTTTATCCCTTATAAAACTTTAAAAAAATTTAAAGAGTGAGGCTTGTTTCCCACAGAGAGTTTCAAGAACTAGCTACCAGTCCTCACAGCAGCTGTGTTAAATAGCTAATATAAACAATTAAGCTTCTGATTACTTAGGCAGCTGTTATAAAGGACAATATAGTATTGGCTTTGGCATTTATGTGTTAGCTTTTGCATGTTATTATTAATCACAAAAATTTTGATATGGTACAATTTATAATTTCTTTTAGCTGCTTCTTGGTATAGTATAATCTGTCAGTTTATGTATGCACCATATAGCTTATATAAATAGTAGCATGACCAATATATTATATCTTAGGCCTTAGCATAATATTAAAATAGAGACTATGTAATGTTAAAATGCTTTTATTCATGTAACTAACTCAGAGAATGGTGTAAAATAATTATGTTGTTTCTCACATTTGTGGACTATCTTATCTGAATGATAAGATAACAATGACAAAAACCAGAGCACCGAGAGTAGAATTTACTGACTCTTCATTATCAGAGAGTGTAAAAACAACAAGATGGAACCATGAGAAAAAATAAAATATATTGATTTAATCTACAGGATGGCATGCAGACAAGTCAAAGGTTAAAACCAAGCTAAAGAATTCCTGAAACATCTAAACTCACAGGAATGTTTGAATAATGTATAAACGCTCATGAATATGCATATAATGCATGTAATGTAACAGTATATAAGAACATTGTTTTAAGCAAAGTGTGTTTTTGGCATATTGCCAAACACCCCAGCACTGGATATTGTCCCTTTTATCCCTTATTAAACTTTTAAAAATTTCAAAGAGTAAGCTCTGTTTCTCACAGCAGTTATATAGCTAAAAGCACAGGAATTGGCAAAACTGTTCTTATTTTACCTTTTATGCTTTAATTACATTTTTCAGTCACATCTATAGAGCTTTTAAAGTGAAATTAGAGCAGTTTCTTAGAAGTAGTGTATTTTACTAGAGCAATGTAGTTCTTAAATATGATGAAGTTTCCCTGCACTGTACTTAAAAGAGAGCTAAGCATCTGCATTTTACAGATAAAGAAACAGACAGAGAGTCAGTTTTGAAGTGGCAAGGTGGGGAACTAAGTCTACTTAGCATTATCAGAGAAAATATTAAGCTGTGTCTTTAAGAACCAGCAGTGCATCCAGGAACAGAAGGGGGGGGGGGGGGGGTTTAGAAGAAGAGAGGCGAGGCGAGGAGGGGGGGGGGGGGGGGGGGGGGGTGTTTTGAGGGAGCTTTTCGAGTCTGTTGGAATGAGCAGCTTGCCCCCTTTTGCCTCATGGTTTTTGCTTTGCTGGCTGTTTGGGCTTTGCTTAAGTGGAGGTTTTTTTGGGTTCTCTTTTCATTTGTTTTTCCTTGTCTCAGAGACACGGCAGTTAGAGGTTTTGAGCTGCCTTAGGGTGAATTCTGCAGCTGCCTGTCTGCAGCCAGGGCACTGCACCGACCTCCCCTCTCCGGTCCAAGTCGAAGGTGACTCGTCAGCAGCGCCCGGCCGAGGAGAAAAAACTATGGAAGTGGAGACTTTAGCAAAAGCTGTGACAAAAGAGAGAAAGGCGGGAGCTCTGCTTCGAAGGTGGTTGTTTTGGGTTTGCAACTGTAGCCACTCGTAAAGACTACATTTAGCAATTAGAAACTGTTTCAACCTGAACTTTGCAAACTGCCGGCAGCGAGAAAAGCGAGCGAGGTCCTGCGGTCGGGCCAGGATCTAAATTAACAGGATCTAAATAACACCAGAAATGTGATCAGATATAAAATAGCAATGCTTACCAAAATCAGCTATCTTGGCATTCATGTGTGCATCAAGCAGCACATTTTCAGGCTTCAGATCTCTATGTACTACCATGTGCCTGTGACAGTAATCCACACCAGAAAGGATTTGCTGGAACAGATGTCTACTTTCCTTTTCATCAAGCTAAGACAAACAAAGGTTTTAAACAATTTTGAGACAGTGGAAGGATAACTTGATTTTCCTCTATATTAACTGAAGGAAACTTTCCAATGACCAAAAGCTATCATTTATAGTTTTGATATTTTATACAGCAGATGTTATATACTCAGTAATTAGAAATATTAGCACCCAAACATTAACTTTGTATAATTAGAATATTAATGAACTTAGATATTTAAGCATGGTATAAGACTGAAGTTGACAAAAGCTGATGACAGTATATAAGTGATAAACTTTGGATGCTGCTTATGCTTCTATTAGCAGCTAGCCCTAAACAGCAGACTTAACTGGATATTTCAAATAAACACACCCTAATCCATGTCAAAGTTTGCTCAGTCTAACAACTAACTAAAAGTATCCTGGCTATCTAGATGGTTTGTCAAAAGTGACTTTAGGACTTTCACAGAAACCAGTCTAATAGTAGAAGAGGGTAATAAGGGCACAACAGTAGCTTTTCAATAATAGTTTATACTGAAGAAAGTTTACAGCTACTCCAACTGGGTAACATATCCATCCAGTTTCTACACAGTAATTGTAAATTAATATATCAGTATCATTTATTCTTCAGTAGAGTGGAAAAATGCTACAAAGATCTGAAACATGTTAATATATAACCATTTTTATTTTCAAAACAAGATATAGTCATAAGGTATATTTTAATTGCTAACCACAAAATTAATGCTGAATACATAACAAACAAACCTTCATTTAACAGGAAGGTTGCAAAAGCAATAACAGAATGCAAGTCATTGACTTGTAGAGTTGGACTACTTCTTACCCTTCCATTTTTACAGATATAATCAAACAGTTCTCCTCCTGAAACATATTCCATCACCATGAAAATGTCAGTGGGTGTACTGATGACCTGGTACCTGATAAGAATAAGTATCTGTTAATCTATGCACTCAGTAAAAGCAGTAGTTACATTTAGTTAAAACCAAAGTTGTGCAAAGAGTCAGATAAAAGTATACTTGAAAAAAATTAACAGCCCATTTACAGCTACTGGAATAATAATATTTTTCAGAAGCTATTTCTTCTCCTTTCACTATGTGATACCATCATCGCCAACATTACCAGGGAAATTGTATTTCCCATGAGGAAGATCAGTCTTTGTACTTTCAGAGGACTACTCAGCGTCCAAATGTTTTCTGTGAAGCCATATACAGTGCTGCAGTGCTGTCTCACACACATTTTAGTGTAATGAGGGATTCAAAAGGACTTTGTTAGTGTCTTAAAAAGCACACACCCTTCAACTTTAACAGGCAAAAAACCCTTGCCTTGTCATAAATAAAGTATACTTCAAGACTTGAAAAAATATTCATGATGATTGAGAGCAATTATCTTTTACAGAGACCTAAATTTCTCATTAGTACTTAAGAGTATTAACACCTTGGTTATTATATTTTTATCACTATACTTTAAAGTTAGCTTAGAGGTTTTGAAAAAACTAGTTTATGGTCAAATTCTCCACTTAGGAGATTGATATGTTTTCTACATATCCTTACCTAAAGGTTGTTTAATTTTTTTTCTTCTTCCAGCAGTCAGAAGTGACCAATTTTTAACATAGCAAGAAAATGCATACTGATAAACCTTCAGTCAAAAAATTCAGATACTATATTAAGAAGACAGGAGATAGCAATTGGATGAAAATGAATGCTTCAAGGTACTACACTTAAGCATACAAATATCCCAATTGTAAAAAAATAATTGAATTTACCCATACACTACAGAACTGAAATGTTCTTCCAAATGCTGATTCTAAGACAAGGGGGAAAAACAGACATGCTCCAGCTAACAGAGAAGTTTTTCTTGACAGCAGTGAGTTCGGACTATCCAGATGAATGTATGTGTGCACATATATATGTGTGCATGTATCTATTTTAACAGCTTAGCATTGTAGTGTAACATTCCAATAATCTGAATACTCTTCTGAAGGAGTTATCTTCAAAGTTAACTTACCTAACATCTTATAGTCCAAGATGTTTTACCTTTACTAATTTTCTCTCAAATACCTTGGTTGAAAGTGTCATGTACTTTAACATTCTGAAGTCATCACTAAGACACTCTACAGAAATAACATTATAATCCTTTTAATCCAAAAGCTACAGTGCAACCTCATTTCTAACACCCCTAATGTTAATGACCTTTTCCATAGTTGTGAAATTACCAAGCTCTATGCTTCAGGCAAACATGAGCAAGCTTATATTTTAGATCTTCATGGTCATTTTCCATCCTCTAGATAGTGAGATAGTGAACAGTGCTGGAAGATAAACCTCTTAGCATCACTGAAAAGAATGAGCCATTCTGCACCTCACATTTTCAGCCTCTTGGAAGATTCAGTCATGTTTCTCTATAGTCAGTTCATTTTTGTAGTTATAGAAAAGGATGTTGTGAAATAGTTACATACCTATAAGTAAGGTTATCAAACTACACAGCATAGATGACCAGAATGCACAGAGGCAATTTACATAGAAAAACAAGATGCATTCTATTGCTAGAGGTCAAAAACCACAAAAGGAGATGCTCCAAAGGTTTTTATTTAAAGCATGGTATAAAAAGAAAAACTTTGTGAGGCAGCTTTGCAACTGCATATATTGGTAAAGCATTGTATGAAAAATTTTAATAAAGCATGCTGTTCCAAATTAGTCATTGTCTAATTTGTAATATTCAGCTGAAATAATCTCATTACCTTTATGCCAAGTATCTCGAGCTGCTACCTAGTGTTGCAGATAGGTAAAACCTTACAAAATGAAGGCCTTGTAAAATCATAGCTCACTCCTGTTACTTCGGCTAAGTAGGAAAGGACTATGGGAGTGACTCAGCTGAATTAGAGGTAGAAAAACAAGTTAAATAACCATTGTGTGTTCACATCATGGTGTATGGTGGTTGGTTGGATTATGTTTGTTGTATTTTAAAAGTATGTAACTGAGAAAACCTCAACTGCTTAAAAAGGCCCGTTTTTTGCAATAAAGGAGCTCTCTTTTGCACCTGCCTGGGGAGTCTGCGTCGCTCTGCTTCGTATCAACCTAGCAGTTCCCTAATACAGCTAATAGCACAAACAGCATGATCCAAAGTCACCACCAAGTCTATCTACACAACAGTATCAATTATACCTTAAATGCTATTTGCATTCAGGCTAATAACCCTTCTGTTTTGGAAATGCAGGATGACCAACTGAAAAGCTTGGGACCCATCAATTTTTCCATCATCTCCTTCGTCTTGCCCTTTCTCTCAACATGCAGAAGAGAAAATTCTCCCCATAATTCCTCAAGAAAGAAATTGCAACCTGAAACCTGTTAAGATGACTTAAAAGTTTGGCAGCACCAGAAGTACACATACTTGTTCCAGCCCAAATATCTCAATTGGCACACTTACACTTCCTATTTTGTTTTAGCTACAGTTATATACTTTGGACTCATTCATGAATTCTAACTGGCAGCACTAGCAGCTCTGCAGCCAAACTAATCAGCTCAATAGTCTTCGGAAAACTGACCCACTGAAGAAGTCAGTGTGATCTGACACAATCAAATTTAGCTCCAGTACAAGTGCTGTTGCCAAATGAGTGTATAGGGATGGCATATATCAGTGAAAGCATGATCAAAAAAAAGACTGCCAGAAAGAAAACCTTAACTCCAACACCACAATTAACAGTGAAAGTCACCCACATTCTAAATTTGCCCTGCTAGATGTACAGGTTGACTTTATAGGAAAAGTAAAAAAGTCAATAGTATTTATAATTTATTTCCTCAGACCAGATACAAGGTGTCTACTCCAGGACATAACTGTATTCTGAACTCTATTGATGAGCTACTGATCAAACAAATGTAAACAGGCACACTGTAAATATCATTTATTTAGTTAAGCGGTAACAGCAATATTGAAGAGCTCTGAAATATGAGATCACATTTAACAGACTGCACATCTATCAGAAAAATCTTGTAGAGCACCATCTACACAGGAAAAACAGGGCACTGGCCAACACAACCCTAAAAATATTTTGAGTAAAGAAAACACAACAAATTTACTATAGAAGTACCCTTTACAATCTTGTACTGAACTCAGTTTCCAAGCAGAAACAAAGCTCAAACATAACCAGAAAAAAGAAAACAGAAGCAGCAGCTAAAACAACTGAGATGGGTGTTACTATAAGCATCCATCGTGCCACTACCTTCTCTATACCTGCCCAAAAAATTTGTAAGTAAATAACTAATGGAAGCCCTCTGCCCTGCAGAATAATCAGTTTTGTGAAAATGCATTACAAAGTACACCAAAAATGGTTACATAGTTGAAAACTGGTTACTTTCCTAAAAGTATACCACGAATAGTATTGCCCTTTAAACATGTTTCAGACCAGTGAGAGCAAGGGACTACTGTTTAAATAGATATGATTATAGCAAGCAAAACTTACAGTTTAATTATATGAGGATGTCTGAAGAGTTTGAGGTTCTGGATCTCCCTGCGGATTTTTCCTACAACATCAAGGCTGCGAATCTTCTGTCGATTTAGGATCTTCACTGCGACTTTATGCCCAGTTAATTCATGTTTACCAACTGCAAGAAACAAGGCCAAGAAATATCACAGTTAAGATGTAAGCATTCCACATTATCCCCATTATCTTTGGGGAGGTTGAAAACCAGATGGCACATTGTTTCTTCTGCCCTACTCCAATTTCTCCCAGAATTCTATCATTAGAAGATGAACTGGATATGTAGGGACAAACCTTAAACCTAATGCTCAGAAGTCTTGCAGCATGACTATGTTTTTGCACTACAGTAAACAAAGCATTTTGCATCCCAAAACACTGCCATCCTTTCTAATTATGGAGACCATTTTCTTTCCCTGTAAAAGTAACTTCAAGCTTTTGGCTCACTTGGCAACCTGCTCAGACACACTCTTCTACTTTATCTGCAAGGATACTCTTAATAAGGACATCACCGTTATCCTTTCCTCAAGAAGCCCGTTTCAGCAATTACTCTGAATTACTGCTAAAAGTATCGAATCAGTTTACTTAATAATTACTTATCTGTCTTTGGAGCAGTCTAACCCTAAATAAGCTCCACATTCTGTGCAGCAAACACCAGGGCTTTATTATATAAAATAAGTGACAAAAGCTATATGAAAAGCACAAAATAAAATCCAATAGTAACTATGAGAAGCAATGCAAACATGCAACTTCTTACATTCCTCAGTTTCTTTCCTACTTCTGAGAGAGTTTCATTTTTCTTTCAACAGGGGAACTCAAAAATGTAAAACATTTCCTAGACAGGTAATCCTCTTAAATTCCTTAATTTTGCAGGTGCTATTGAAAGTAGGTACAATAGAATTGCTAAGAATATTTTTCTTAAACTCAACATTGTATTACAGATAAACCACAAAAGGTATCTCCCACTAGAAGGCTTCACTATCTGCATTAGTTTCTGCATGCAGTGATATAGCACTAATACTATAATAACTACATCACTTTCATCCACCACCCTGAATCCTACCATCTGAAGACAAGCCAGATTCCAGACACACACGTACATGGTTCATCCTTGTCCACTTGAATGGACATTAGTAACAGACCTCTGCTGAACTCAAAATTAATTACAAAGATTACAAAAATAATCTTTACTTTGCTACATAATGTAATAGCAAATACAAGTTTTTCCACATGCATTTAATCAAGACAAAAATATTTGTAGTTTTTCTACTGTAAAGCAGCTTTGCAGCTTTATTATTGTGTGTATGCTATCACATTAGAACTAAACTGTTAATCTCAATGAGAAAACATACTGAAATGATACTGTGCTTTTAAGTTAAGCCTTTATCCACATGCCATAACAACTTATTTATTCTATGATGAGGTCTCGGTTTGAAAAGACAGGTGTCTGCTAAGGAAGGTAGAAGCCTCTCTTGAAATGGAAAATGTAAATCCCCTCCCTCTGAATTATTATAATTTTGAAATTAAAAAGGTCTCAGGCAAAAAGATATGGGAGTAGGAATAACAGTTCATTATTAGGAAAAATAAAAATGGAGTAATACAAAACAACACTGACAGAGTCAGAATGCGATCTGACACCTTGTTGATCAGGGTGTTGGTAGCAGTCCAATTAAATGATGGCTGCAGTCCTCCTGGAGTGACAGATGTAGTTCTGTTGAAGCAGTGATGCTGTAGAAGGGTGTAGTTTTCCACTGAAGGTCTAGTGGTGGTGTACATGGGCCTAGTCTTCCTCTGGGAATCCAGTGGAGAATAAAGCAGCTCCTCTGGGAATCCAGTGGGAAAAGGCTGCCTGTGGTGCTCCAAAGTTCAGACTATATCCAGGTAGGAGCGCTTGGCTCTTCCCCCTGGACAGAGCATCTCACAATGGGATGATGTAATTTTATCAGTCATGCAGTGAGACTCAGCGGCTCATTAACAGAAGATATGTCCCCAGGAAGGATTGGTTGTGGAAGGGATAAAGAAAACTGCCCCACCTGGTTTTAAGAGTGGGCCAATTAACAAAGGATAACTGTCCCACCTCTAACAGATGGCAATAGAACATTCACACCCCACCACATCTTGCATTTGAAAGCCAAGATATTATCCACCCCTTATTCTATTACCATGCGCATCATGCCCAAATCAATAAACTCTACACAATGCAACCTTACACAGAGATCTCACTTAAGACTAGGTTTCCCTGAGGTACACAAGGGGCTTCTCCATCTTTCTGCATTGTCCACCAAGCATAACCAGGTCCTTGAGCAAAAACAATCCCACGGATGGGTTTGCCTTTGCATGAGGTGGGACTAATCTAAACAGTCTTTCCTAAAATACTTTTCACGTGTACCACAGAGACTTTATCTCCACTGTGTGCAAGGGTTCAGACTGGGCAGGACCAGCTCAATTGATGGACCCATGGGTGTTGACCATCCAGGTGGCTTTTGCTAAGTTCATGTCCCAATTTCTAAAAGTTCCCCTGTGATGAAGTGTTTTCTTTAGTTTTATTGGTATGCTTACTGTTCGATTTGTGATTTTGCAATCCCCTTATGCCACTCCCTACCAAGTTTTAAACCCCCATCTTCCCAGTTGTTAATCCCTCCTATCCCTGCCCTTTTTTCCCCGAATCCCCCTTGCTCCCCCCTCCCAGTGGGTGTCAGTTCTCCTCCAAACCTGCCCTCTCTTCTGGAGAATTCCCTGTTTATTTTGTGTCCTTTGGAACCCTATTAGTTTACCCAAGTTATTCCCCTCCCTAGTGCTCATTTATTGGTTCAAATGTAAAATACCCTGCCTTCAACCCCTCCCCAACCATACCCCTATTGGTTTGCTACCCTAAACCCCTCCTCCCGAGCGAGGTATGAAAGCTCTTGTTAGCCCCAAGCCTGGATCTTGGGTGCTGATCATGAAATAAAACCACCCCAGTTTCACCCCAAGACCCGTGCTACCACCCTTTGTTCCTGCGCCGAACCACCGCTGGTAGCTGGGATTCTGAGGAGCTTGCAAGGGGGGTCTGTCGCGCCCCAGTTGTCACCTATCTGGGACATAGTCTTCACCGTGACACCCCTGCCAAGTGCCTTCAGGGTAGTCTTAAGTAGTCCATTTCACTGTTTAACTTTCCTGGCAGCTGGTGCATGATAAGGGATATGATATATCCATTCAATACCATGTTCTCTGGCATAGGTGCTTATAAGGCCATTCTTGAAATGGGTCCCGTTGACAAACTCAATTCTCTCAGGGGTGTTATATCTCCACGGGACTTGCTTTTCCAGGCCCAAGATGGTGTTCCGGGCAGTAGCGTGAGGCACATGGTAGGTCTCCAACCATCCAGTGGTGGCTTCCACCATGGTCAGCACATAGTGCTTGCCTTGGCAGGTTTGGGGAAGGGTGATGTAGTCAATATGCCAGGCCTCCCCATACTTATATTCGGACCATCGCCCACCATACAATAGGGGCTTCACCCGCTTGGCCTGCTTGATCGCAGCACATGTCTCACAGTCATGGATAACCTGAGAAATACTGTCCATGGTTAAATCTACCCCTTGGTCTCATGCCCACTTATAGGTAGTATCTCTACCCTGATGACCTGTGGCATCATAGGCCCATCGAGCTAGGAACAACTCCCCCTTATGTTGCCAATCTAAATCTGTGACACCTTGATGGAGAAGGAAGACTTGCACACCAGATGATGAACAACAAGTCTCAACTTTATTCCCCGAATCGCCAGTTATTATACACTTCTTAATAAGCTCATGCATAGTGCAAAATTCCAGCTCACCATTGGCTAATTAACTATCAGCTACCTACGTGCTGTTTTGTGCATCTGCTACTGCTTTCCCAAGCTATGCTTTGCTATGTTTTCCTTTTACCACCTGTTTTTGTGCATTCCTCTATCCGTGGGACAAGGACACAGTTTCATTTGGAATGGCAGCTCCCTTCATTCTGTATCTCGGGCAGATTAATCTGGCTGTGACCCTTATCCCAGAGCCAGCTTGTTACAAAGCTCTCAACAACACCTCTATCTTTGCAGCCTGATCTACCTGCTTATTGGTTTGGTGCTCCTCATTAGCCCGATTCGGGGACATGAGAATTTACATGATGGACTTTCACAGATAGCTTTCTACCTGACTGGCAATGTCTTTCCATTCTTCAGCAGCCCAAATTGGTTTTCCTCTACGCTGTCAATTGACCTTTTTCCATCTTTCCAGCCAGCCCCACAGAGCATTGGCTACCATCCACGAATCAGTATAAAGGTAGAGCTTTGGCCACTTCTCTCTTTCAGCAATGTCCAGGGCCAGCTGAACAGCCTTGAGTTCAGCAAGTTGACTTGATCCACCTTCTCCTTCAGTAGCTTGTGCAGCCTGTCATGTGGGGCTCCATATGGCTGCTTTTCACTTTCTTTTCATCCCTCCGATGCAATGCGACAGGAACTGTCAGTGAAAAGAGTGTATCATGTTTCTTCTGCTGGTAGTTGGTTGTACGGTGGAGCTTTTTCAGCCCATCTTACTTGTTCCCACTCCTCTTCATCAGTGAGAACAAAGTTTTCACCTTTCGGCCAGTTTGTAATTATTTCCAAAATCCCGGGGCGATTCAAGTTTCCAATACGGGCACACTGTGTGATGAGGGCAATTCATTTGCTCCATATGGCATCAGTGGCATGGTGGGTAGAGGGAAACTTTCCTTTAAACAACCACCCCAGCACCGGTAGTTGGGGTGCTAGGAGTTGTGCTTCCGTGCCAATCACCTCTGAGGCGGCTTGAACTCCTTCATAGGCAGCCAAGATTTCCTTCTCTGTGGGAGTGTAGTTGGCTTTGGATGTTCTGTAACTTCAGCTCCAGAATCCCAGTGGTTGGCCTCGAGTCTCCCCAGGCACCTTCTGCCACAGGCTCCAGGACAAGCCACTGTTTTTGCCTGCAAGCACATTCCTCACCTCTGATCCCATCCTGACTGGGCCGAGGGCTACTGCATGAGCGATCTCCTGTTGATCTAGGCAAAGGCTTGCTGCTGTTAAGTGCCCCAGTGGAAATTGTTCTTCTTGCGGGTAACCAAGTAGAGTGGGCTCATGATCTGCCTGTACTCAGGAATGTGCAT